GCTGTCACAGAAGGGACCACAGAAGCAGGGAAAGGACCATGATTGGGATATTACATAACTGAAGATTAAAAAGTATTGTAGAATTGGGTTCTAAGGCTTGACCACCTGGCTATGTGGTGGTCAGGGGATGACTCATGACCATGTGACTTGAGTCATAGCCACATGGTGGCTACAAAACAATGCCAAGACCCCAACTTTAGTTTAAAGTAGCTAAGGACATACCCAGGGAGCTCTGGAGGCATAGTGCCTAAGGCATTTGACTGCTAACCAGAAGGTGGGCAGTTCAAACCCACCAACCATTCCTCGAAGGACAATTGGGCAATCTACTTCCATAGTGATACTGCCTTGGAAACCCCAGGAGGGGTTGCTATGAGTCCGATTGGACTCCATGGCAATGAGTTGAGTTCAAGGACATACCCAAGCAAGTTCCCTAGGTTTTGTGTGAACATAATCTACTTTCAACCACATTCTTCCTGAGGACAAACTGCCCCTCCCTAGGTTTGTCCTGGGACTTGTCTATGAATAGCTACAATATTGGGTTAAAGGTCAGAAAGAACTCAAATAGCATGTGAAATTATGTCTAGACTCAAAACGCAGTTTGGACTCCCACTGTAGATTGCAACTGCAAAAAGGTCAAGGAGGTGGCATCTTACGACCTCCTCTAACTTCATGAGAGGGAGACAGAATCACCATCAGCAGCCCAAGGCCAGACAGACATGCCCCCAACCCCTAGACTTTTTTTTTTTTTACACCAACTCTGACATCAACTATCCTTCCCACAGCACTCACTGCTTCTCTGCTGGGTTCCATAATTCGTTTCAGTGGCAACACAGAGCTCACAGACAGTATTCATGATTGCGGTGTTTGTTGGGGAAGTTGTTGTTGTTATGTGCCGTCGAGTCGGACTCAACTCATAGTGACCCCTCCTTAGGTTTCCAAGGCAGTATCGGGAGCTCTGGTAGCATAGTGGCTAAGGCACTTGACTGCTAACCAGAAGGCTGGCGGTTCAAACCCACCAGCCACTCATCGGAAGGAAGATGGGGCACTCTACTTCCGTAGTGATACTGCCTCGGAAACCCAAGGAGGGGTCACTATGAGTCAGATGTGACTCGATGGTACATAACAACATCACTACAGAAGTAGATTGCCTAACCTTCCTTCCAAGGAGTGGCTGGTGGGTTTGAACCGCCAGCCTTCTGGTTAGCAGTCAAGCACCTTAGGCACTACGCTAGCAGAACTCCTAACAGACAATTATACAATCCTTCTATCAGGACAGTCTCCCCTCAGCCATGCCCCCTCAGGCACACCTCTCTGGCCCTTGGCTTCTTCGCCTGGCCTCTGCCTTTCTTGGGCAAGTGTTACAAAGCTCTTTTGTCTCTGCCAGTATATACACCTAGGTACATCCCACTTAGCCAGAAAACCTCCTGCCAAAAGCACTCAGCTTTCTTGCTCTGTGGGCCAGCAAGCCTGCCACTCTGTCTCATGCCTTTTAGTTTCACAGTCGGTCGTCTCTGCCTTCTTTCTGTGAAGGAGGTCCAGCGCAGGGATCTCGGGTCCAAGGACACGCTCTGCTCCAACTCTGTCCTTCTCTCTTGATGGCAGTGAGATCCCCCTCTTCTGCCTCTAAAACCAAAAACCAAACTCACTGCTGTCGAGTTGGTTTCAACTCATAGTGACCCATCCTTGGGTTTCTGAGGCAGTATCTCTACAGAAGTAGATTGCCAAATTTTCCTTTTAAGGAGTGGCTGGTGGATTTGAATCACCGGCCTTCTGGTTAGCAGTCAATGGCTTAGGCACTATGCCACCAGAGCTCCCTAGCAGGGTTCATTTTAAGCCTAGCAGAATGACAAAACTAACCAATCCCCACATTAGAGTTCCATACACCTTATTTGCATGGTCCCACCCAGTAATCTGGTGGGAGTCACAAAGACTGGTTAGAAAAGCCATCCAAGTAATTCACAACACCACAGCAACCTTCTAGAGACCAAGTGCCCTCGAATTTAAGCTCTAATTCAGAACTGTCTATATGGGATCAAACTGACAACAGCAACTTGAAAAATTAGATAGGAACCTTGGGTGGCAGTGAGTTTATGTTATTGAGGGAGGAAAAACTCAGACAAGAAAAGTGAGAATGGTAGCACAACTCAAAGAATGTCATCAATGTTAGTGAATTGTACATGTAGAAACTGTTGGATTGCTGAGTGTTTTGCTGTGTATATTCTCAACAATAACAACACAATAAACAAAATTCAGGAAAACAACAACAACAAAAGCAACCACTGCCCCAACTACAGGAGCTCTGGTGGCCTAGTGCCTAAGGCACTTGACTGCTAACCAGAAGGCTGGTGGTTCAAACCCACCAGCCACTCCTTGGAAGGAAGGTTGGGCGATCTACTTCCGTAGAGATACTGCCGCAGAAACCCAATGAGGGGTTGCTATTGCTTGAATCCAACTCAACAGCAGTGAGTCTGGTTTTTTTGGTTTGCCCCAACTACTGTCTGTAAAACCACATCACCTCCACCTCTATTCTTTTCTTTTTTAATTTTTTTTTTTATTGTGATTTGGGTGAAAATTTAGAGAGCAAATTCACTTTCCATACACCAGTTCACATACACTGTCTCATGACATTGACTATATAATTTACCCCAATACAATAGCTCCCCTCCCACTTCCTCCCAACAGTTACCTCTTCCCTGTGTCTATCCTTCCATGCCTTCCTGCCTTCTGAGCTGTCTCCCGTGCATAAACAACCCTTCTTTCTCCCATGATTGTTCTCTCCAAGGAGTGGATCTACCTCAGGCAAATGTTCAACTCATATGCCTGTCTTTTGTTTGGCTGGAAGCCAAGATGTGGGTTCAATTCCAGACCTGAAGGGCAGCTAGGGGCCATAGCCTCAGTGGTTCCACCAGGCTCTATCAGACCAGTAAACCTGGTCCTCTCCTTTTTTTTTCCAAGTGATTTTGAGTTTTGTTCCACATTGTTCTCCCTCTCTATCCAGGATCTCCTACATAGATCCCCCTCTGAGTGGTTGACAGTGGTAGGTGGGCACCATCTAGTTCTTCTGGTCTCATAGTCGTATAGGCTGTGGATTGCATGGTGTACCAGTCACTAGGACTAATTCTTTCCATGAATCTTTCATTTTCTTCATTCTTCTTTGCTCTGGATGAGGAGAGACCCATCGTTGCATCTAGATGGCTGCTTGCAAGCTTTTAAGATCCCAGTCGCTACTCACCAAAATAGGATCACCTCTATTCTTGCCAGGCAAAATGGATGCTCCGGACACTGCCTCTCGACACCCACGGTGCTGAGGCCTCTGCTAGCCCTGCCTCAGGAAACCAGAAATACACTTCCAGGAGAAATAACAGAAGCAGGAGTAGCACCTCCACCTCCCTCCTTCTGTTTTCCGTATCTCACACAGTTACTTCAGCAGTGGCAGCAACAAGGTCATGGGCAGAGCCTGAGCTATAAGGGAGTCTGAGGAATGCATCTTTATCTGGAATGCATCCAGGAGACAGTAAAGCCTGCTACGGTGCTGGAATGGAATCGCATGAGCAATCCATCATATCTGTCAAGGCACCTACTACGTACTAGCTTCTTTTCTAAGCTCTGAGGCGATCCAAAACCAAACTCACTGCCGTCGAGTTGACTGCAACTCATAGCGAACCCTCCTTGGGTTTCCGAGGCAATATCTGTACAGAAGTAGATTGCCCAACCTTCCTCTGAGGCAAGAAAGTCCCTCCCTTCATGGAGCATACATTCCAATGGGGGAAACATACACCAGATACGCAAACAAACAAGCAATATGTTGTAATTTTGACTGAGATACATGCAATAAGGAATATAAAATGAAGGGGGAAAAAAGAAAAAAGAATGAGGGTGTTGTTGGTGTTGACCTGACTGACCGTTCCTGACCAGCGTCCCGCTAACAGGGCAGGTGCTGGGCCTGCCACAGCAGTTCTCATCTGAGTGCTTGGCTTTGCTGCGACCCAAGCCTCACGGCTGCACCACCGCTTGGCCAACTTCCAGGACTGTATGTAAAAAGGAGCAGATCTATACTGCAGCAAAGTGGATCCAGGATAAATCGGGGCAGGACCCAGACAGGGAGTTTGCAATCTCCTTCTGGAGTGGGTCTTAGAACCCAGGAGGCCCTACTTCCCCCAAAGGGAGAGTTCATTGATGTCTAGGTGCTGGCTGTCCACAAGTTCCTGTCCTCAAAATCAAGATGTGTCTTATAATCAGTGGAGTGTCGTAACTTCATTAGCAGCTTTTGTTCTCTTGATGGCATGCAAAACAAAGGTGTCTTACAATGGGAAAAACATTGTAGTTACCTGAATAACAACAGTATCCTCAAAAGTTAAGGCATTAGATTAGCAATGGTAACAATTTACTCTTGAGGGAAGAAAAGTCACTGTTTTACAGGCAAATGAAGCATTTGTTAAGAATTTTGTCAAAACGCAGGACTTTGATATTTTGCCAATAGTATTCATTGCATCAAGAAGCAGAATTTAAAAAAGGATATATTCTGATGAAATCGTTGAAATAAAGGTTTATCTCTGATAGCATGCATTTTCTTCGTTGTTCATAATCTCCTAGGTGGATCCCAGAAACATAACATACGGAAATTCAAGTAATATAGCCAACCAGTGTGATTTTGTGACAAACGGAATAATGTGGGGATTCAATAACGTCTTGGAAGTGATCTCTAAGCCCTGCCCTGTTCATGTCTCTGTATTCTTCACTTTTAAAATATCCAAGATGTCCTCAGAGACTTTGCTCAGAAGAAACAAGACAGAAGTATTGAAAGATATGATAAAGGAAGTTATCTCGAGGTAGCAAAGAGGACCATAAATAGAAATGGAATTGAACTTCTCTATATGGAATTCTGACGTTTTTTGTGCTGGAGGGCCGTGTGGCGGACGAGACAACAGTAACGCAGCTTGAATTAACCAGAAAAGCACGTAGGACTGAGACACCAAAGCTGCGCTAGCTGCGTCCGCGTGATGCCGCAGAGAAGCCAAGGAGATGCAGCCAGGAGGCAGCCAAGATGCAGCAAGGGTGGGTCCCTGGCCGGGTTCAGCGGCGGTCCGGCGCCCAATGCCTCAGTTTCCCGGAATATTGGTCCTCGGAGCACCAACCCTCTGACGTCGCAAGGCGGGCGGGGCCGGGGGTCGGCCGCCAGGGGGCGCGAGCGCGAGCGCGAGGCGGGCGCCGGGGAAGTCCGCTCGCAGGGAACCGAGCGTGGCGTCCGCGGGGTTGCACGGGCCCCGCCGGCCGAGGCGGAAGCCTGGGCGGGAGGCTGGAGGCGGAGCGGCTGCGCTGAGTCAGACCAGATTGACCCGCCTGCAGCTTCCAGGGGCCGAGGTGACAGCGGGCCCGGGACTGGCGGCGGCAGCTGCCAACCGCGCCGAAGGGGACTGCTGAGTTGCGGAGAGCAGGTCAGAGGTAGGGCCTGGGCTGGGACCGGGGCCGGGGCCGGGCGGGGAGCGCGGGGCCTCTGTGCGAGGGCCAAGGGCACCCATGCCCCGAGGGACGCGCTGCATGACCGGGCCTGCACTGGCCGCTTCCCCGCGGCAGTCGCTGTTCTCGTCTGCAAGCGCCCGGAGCCGCTCTTCGGTCTCCTCTCGCCCCGGATCAGGTCTGGCCCCTGTGAGATCTCCGCGAGTTGGAGAGGCTGGGTGGCCCCAGTCAGAGGGATGCGAACGTGGGCTTTTTTGGTGTCAAGCCCAGGCAGGGCTCTTTTCATTGCACCGCCCTGCCACTCCGGCAATGAGGCGGAATTCGAGAGCTGGAATTCAGCCTGAGCCCAACCCTCTTACTGTACAGATGAAGAAATTCTTCTTGCTTGCTCGAAGTGCCACATACAGTCGGTGTTAGGACTCCGTGAGTCTGTGTCAGGGAGACAGACATGGATGGTTTCCGAAGCAAGAGGAAGAGTGTTTGGCTAGAGTTGCAAGTTTGGTTATGGTGGAGTTTTACAGTTAGTTACTCACACCCACTCCTTTATTACCATAGCGGGTACTGATATCCACCAGCCATCAATTTCTCAAAGCACTGATCTTGAAAGGGGTGGTAATGCTGTCATCTTCATTGATGATATATTAAAAAAAAAAAAAAAAAAAGATGATTTGAATAAAGGGATACTGGATTTAGAAACTGGCCAGGATCTGCAGCGGATAGGAACTGTGGCGCATACCTGGGGTAGCTTTAAATGGGATTTCCTTATCTCTTACTGTCTGTCTCATTTATACGATGAGGAATGGTAGATATTTTTGGCACACACATTATTCTGTAATATTAGTAACTTGCCTTTAACCACTAACCAGTTGCTCTTGAGGTCATTCATCTTTTACTGAAGCAGATCAGCTGGCTTTTCTTCCCCTGCATCAGTGGGTGGGTTTGAACTGCCAACCTTTAGGGTAGTAGTCAAGCGCTTAACCATTTGCGCCACCCAGGAGTCCAAACTTGCCTTCCTTGTTGTGTACCATTGAGTCTATTCTTACGGTGACCCTATAGGAGAGAGTAGCACTGCCCCATAGCGTTTCCAAGGCTGTTGTCTTTACAAAAGAAGAATGCCCCACCTTCCTCCCATAGGCATCTGTTGTTGAAACACTTTCTTTTTGTAATTAGTGATGCTGTGGTATCTGGAAAGCTACCAGATTGCTGGTAACACTAATGTTTAGGGTTTGAGCATAGTTTAGCTCCTGTCATGTACATAGCTGAGTTACAGGGGGAAAGTCGGGTTGTTTAATCCATAGTCGAATTTTGTGCGATTGAAGTACTCAGCAGCACGTTGTTGTAGGACACAGCTGAACTGCCGAGAGGGTTTTCTAGGCTGTAATCTTTACGGGAGCGGATCGATAGATCTTTTCTCCCACAGAGCAGCTGCCAGCCTTTCAGTTAGCAGCCAAGCACTTAACTGTTGAGCCACCAAACGATGATTTCTCAGTTAGTGCTGCATTTATTATATTATTATACTCTCTCAGCACGAGTCGATTCAAGGTGGGGAGCAGGTTAGTTTATCTCTCAGGACATGTTTTTCCTAAAATATTGAATGAGAGATCTCCAGGGCCCCCTTCCGTCTCTAAAGTTCCCTAATTTTACGTGTTAACTTGAAACAAGTATCACTAATTGTGACATCAACAAAAAAAGTAAAAAAAAAAAAAAAAAAGTGTTCTCGTATCCAAGACTGGCATGATGATCTTTGTATGTGTAAGCAATAGCCAAGATTTGACTTGGGCATGGGATCGCACAGGTAACTTTTGCAATAAGCTGAGAACGTTCTGACCCAGAAAAGCTTGACAAGATGCCTTCATACACTGCTCAAAGTGTGTGTGTTTTCAGATGAGGTATAATAATAACTTTTATAAATACTCTGTCCTAGTAAGTCCAAGTTACTTATTTTTCTCGCAGCCCCAAAGCAGATCCTGCCCCTCCTCTTGTTTCCACAGCTCTCCATGCCTTTTCTGTGTCTTTCTTCTCTGGGTGCCTTGCTTATCTTCAGAAAGGACTTGTCACATTCCTTCTCTCATCAACATCCCAGTTCAGAGCCTCCTTCAAGCACTGACTGAACTTATACTACTTTTTCCTCCTCCCAATGAACATGATCAGCCATGATTCTTGAATCTCCTAAAAACAGGAGGTATTTGTTTTTGTGGACATTTGTTTTTCAAACACGGTGTAAGACTCCGAGTGGCTCTGGTTCTGGTAAAGTGTTAAGTGGGCCAGGCTTAGATTCTTAGTGAGGGAACTGCCAGAGCCCGTAAACTCTTTACTGTGGGTCCCATGGAAACCCTTTGGGCGGGATGCATCGCAAATCTTCAAATTCGTTACAATTCTCCACCCTCCCAGTCATTTTATCAGTATTTGGCTCACATAAGCAAAAAGTGATTTTTTTAAATTATAGGTACTGCAGTGTGCAATTTGCCTTGGGATTTAAAAAAAAAAAAATGATAAAAACACGTAAAATAGAATGCTAGGGATAAGGCTTGAATTATTTTTTTTTATTTATTTATTAAAATTTTTATTGTGATTTGGGTGAAAGTTTACAGAGCAAGTTCATTTTCCGTACAGCAGTTGATACCCATTTTGTTTTGTGACGTTGACTGCAATCCCCGCAATTTAACAGCTGTCTTCCTCCTTCCTCCCTGTAGTTCTCTCTTCCCTGTGTCCTTTCCTGTGCATTCCTGCCCCTTGAAAGGGTTTGAATTATTTTCAAGGTTCATTATGCTGTTGTTTCTAAAGTCAGTTAATGTAGTGCTTGCAACATGGTTTTATTACAAAATTATGTTCTGTGAAATTTGCAAGTAGAGGTGGTGGGCTAAAGCACCTTTGAAATTCATTCAGAGTTCTTGTAAGAAGCTTCACAGCACCAATTCAGTTTAGCATTACATAGCTTCTCTTTATTAAACAGCTCAGGAAACACGTAATTAAATTAATTCTCACTATTGGATAACTTAGCCTTGTTGGTTGGGAGTTAATTGCGAGCATTCAGTCTCTTCCCTAGAAAGACAGATGGTCTAAAAATTAAAATGTCAGTCATAAAATCAGATCACAGAGCAGCTTTATAAAGAAAGAGCCATTAAACAAACCAAGGTGTTAGCTTTTGGTTGGGTACTTTATCTTTGATACTTAAAAGGCATCATCAGAGGTAAAGCCCTGGTGGCGTAGTGCCTAAGGCATTTGACTGCTAATCAGAGGCTGATGGTTCAAACCCACCAGCCACTTCTCGAAGGAAGACTGGGCAATCTACTTCCATAGAGATACCACCTTGGAAACCCAAGGAGGGGCCCCTATGGGTCAGGATTGACTCGTAGGCAGTGAGGTTTTTTTCTGTGAAATAGACATAACTGTATCATTTCTTCTTATATTTTCATGGCCTTTACTTCTAACTTGAAGTGTGGGCATGGGGTGGGGTCCAAGAACTGAGGCAGTGGGCACAGTACAGCAAGTGGGGCTTTGGGCCTGGAGTCTGAAGGTGGGGGTTTTAGTGCTCGCTTATTCATCCATTCAACGAATGGTTCGTTCTCAAAACTCAAACTCTCTGCCATCGAGTTGATTCTGACTCATAGCGACCCCCATTGGATTTCTAAGGCTGTGAGTCTTTATGGGAGCTCTGGTGGCATAGTGCCTAAGGTATTTCACTGCTAACCAGAAGGCTGGGAGTTCAAAACCCACCAGCCACTCCTCAGAAGGAAGGTTGGGCAATCTACTTCCACTGCCTCGGAAACCCAAGGAGGGGTCGCTATGAGTCGGATCCGACTCGATGGTAGTGAGTTTAGTTTCTTTTTGGAAGTCTTTATGGAAGTAGGGTGCCTCATCTTCCTCCCACAGAGCAGCTGGTGGGTTTGAACCACTGACCTTCTGGTTAACAACTGAACGCCTTACCTACTACGCCACCAGAGCTCCTGCAGTAGGTGGCATATTGTTGGTTGCTGTGGAGTTGATTCCTGCTCACGGTGCCATGTGTTTGGAGTGGAACTGTTCCATAGGGTTTTTAAGGTTGTGACCTTTTGGCAGCACATGGCCAGGGCTGACTCCCCAGGTGCCTCTGGCATGAACAAAACAGACCAAAAAAAAAAAAAAAAACACCACCCAGCACACTAGACCAGTTGCCATGGAGTCAGTCCTGCTTCCCCTGGTGACCCTGTGAGGCCAGAGTAGAACTGAGCCCCGCAGGATTTTCAGTGGCTGATCCTTCACAAATAGATTGCCAGGCCTTTCTGCCGTGGTGCCTGAGTAGACTCCAACTGGTAGCCTTTTGGTTAACAGCTGAGTGCTTAACCATGTGCACCACTCAGGGACCCCACAACAGACAAAGGCCTGCCCTAATGGAGTAGACAGTCTGGTGGGGTCATAAATAAATATGGGAACAGATGGAAGGTCAGATGCACATAAGTGCTATGGAGAGCTTTACAGTAACTGTACACGTGAGTGTGCATGTGTGTAAGGGGATTTGCTTTTTCGTAGAATGCTCAGTGACGGCCTGTGCTGAGCTAACTCCTGATCTGAAAGGACTGGGGTGAGCCAGCTCCAGGAGCGTTTTTGGCATGTGTGGGGAGCAGCCAGGCGGCGGTGTAGGGGCAGTGTGGCTGGGGCTGAGGGAAGGTCGCAGTAGGTGAGAGGATCCAGTGGGCAGGGGCCGATCAGTGCAGGCCATGGTGAGGATCTTGCCCTTTGCCCTGAGTGAGGGGGAAGCGGTCGGAGGCTTTTGAACAGAGAGGCTTATGATCACTGACATTTTAAAAAGATCACTCTGAATCCTGGGTTGAGAATGAAAGGAAAGGGAGCAAAGACAGAATCAGGGAAGGTGTTCTTTTTTTGCCCTCGCTGTCTGACCCTAAACCTTAATTCTTCTCTGGGCCTTCATTTCCTCTGGCTCTGAGGTCCCCATGAGGCACCGATGGCTTGTGCTCAAATACTAACCTAAACCTGATGGTCTGAACCCCCTCGCAGTGCTCCGGAAGGCGAACCTGGTGGTCTCTTTCTGTAAAGACGGTAGCCAAGAAGAGCCTCCGCTCTGCCCTGAAGGTACCGGGTCGCCATGCGTCGTAATCGGCACTGACACAACAGGTTTAGTCTTGTTTCTTCCTTCTGGCCCTAGGGTTTTACGATTCTAGGTAGCATGGAATGTTTGTG